TATAAATATCTTATCTTATCTCTTGTAATCTATATCCCACGGCGTATCTGCATTAAAATTGATCTTATCTATTTTCTTCCTGCAGGAGATCATCTTTCACAGCCTTTGTTTTGTTTTTTGTTTTTTCGGGTCAGAATTTGAATCATTCATTCCAACATTGTGATCTTCAGAAATTACCATAAAATTTCTAATTATGATTATTTATATTTCAGGGGCAGTGGCAGTGCTGGGACCATGTCATACAGAAACAACCAGTAATATCCCTGGCTCACCCCCTCACCTCCCTGTATTGGGTGTGCCACCCCACAAGATGATCTCACGGCAGAAATTACGGCCAGGGTCAGGATGTTTATCGGTCAAGGTCGTTATGGATGGACCAATCAGAGTTTTAGAAATAGCTGACAGACAATCTACTGTAAGTTTTGATAGATAAATCAGGCATGAATTGATCTGGGCACTTGTTCTTGATAACTTAACTAAGATAAAATCTAGATTTTAATATATACAGTTATCTGATTGGATAATGGAACTTAATTTAAAATCAATTTTTGTGATTGACCAATCAGATGACAGGAATACTAAAATCATTGTAAGTTGAGTTTTATAGAATAAAAGTTTTATATAAACCAAATACTAACGATCCGAACCCCAAAACGAAACCTGAAACATTGGTAGCAGCTAATGAACTTTTTACATGAGGAAGTTTATCAATCAAAAGATTGTGTCATGTGTTTGTGTGATTGATTCTTCTTTTCAAAATTTACCAGAAGTATCTCCTCTACTTACACTTTATTTCTAGGAAATTGTCCACTGTGAATTGAAGGATATGAGTGATTGGGAGGTTTACGACGTCTCAGAAAGAGTTCAAGGATCAACTGAGGAAATTATTGGACCAAAACAATTAGAAGTAAGTATAGTCCAAAATATCAGCCTCTAACTGAATAAATAGGTTTAAAAACCCTGCACCTCAGAGGTGTGGAAAATCCCCTCAAACAGAGCCTAGTTTTTCTGTCTCTACACCAGCCGATGTTTTGGTTTATAGTAAGTATTGTAATTGCCTACCCCTTCTTACCCATGAGTAAATTTGTAAAAGAATCTGTCACTGTAAGTAATGTCACCCAATGAAAATGAACAAGCTAGCAAAATGAAGACACCATAATATTGAACAATAAACTAAAGTGAAATATCTGAATGGTTCATATGAGAAGCTATTTTGTATTATGTAAAAGCTCAATAATTATTTGAAAGCAATGAGTTGGCAAAATGCAGACACCATAATATTGAGAAGTAATATTGCATATTCCACAGCTCCAGTTTAACTTGTACTAGACACTCAGGTTCATATCTAAACAAGAAAAATTTTAGACCCCAAAAAATGTTGTTAAGGAATAATTACTTTGATTTTTTTTTAAATAACCAAACAACACTCAAGCCTTAATGCCGCTTCATTATTGATTGGATTAATTTTGTAGGTGACAATGTCATTAAAAGGTGGATTAGGTATATCTGTTATAAATCATCTACCAGAAGAATTGTTATATATTAAACTGAGTAATATCAGTTTGGAGGTTGTTAAATCATCAGCTTTACTAACAGTAGAAACTAGTGTAGCTTCTGTACAGGTAGGATACAGTTAGATTATTTGGGTTGTAGTTGATAAAAGGTTCTGTGTGTCTATAAGAGAGGAAAGGGAACATGGCTCCCAGTAGAAACCAGTGTAGCTTCTGTACAGGTAGGATACAGTTAGATTATTTGGGTTGTAGTTGATAAAAGGTTCTGTGTGTCTATAAGAGAGGAAAGGGAACATGGCTCGGGTAGCTTCGGGTAGAACAGAGTTTAAGTACAGTTTGATTCTTTGATAGTATCCGCATAGCCTGATAATTTATCAGACATGCTTTTATTCACCTCTATATCAGCTTCACTAACAGATGACTATTTTATAATTTCAGGTTGATAATCAGATGATAGGAGCAAGTCGTCCAGTGGTGTTATTTGTTACTCAGACAAACCAGCGTGAAACAGTTGATAATACTCCAGCTTTATTTATAACAGCTCATAAACTACCTAGTGGCAAGTGGAACGCTGAAATATACAAGGTAAATAAATAACCTTAGTACTAACGATTAGAATTGTAAAACACAACGCAACATATTGGCAACACATTGGATATACATTGAATACAATCACCAAAGAAAGACGTAAAACAGAACTACACTTAATCCACTGATCAACTTTCTTTTTTTTCAATTTATTGTTAATTGAGGATGACTATTAATGTTATCACTTGTCCGTTTCACAACTCATCCACTATACCAGGGTTTGTTTAATTTATGAAGACTTTCTGGCCAGAGGTCTAGTTTTGGCTTTGAAATTGCTTAACCAGGGATATTTGACACAAGACTTCAAACATCATTTAGGAAAGTTAATGGTCGTTAATGATAAGTTCTGGACAAATATCTAGCATCTTTGCTGATTTGTTTGGTCTGGTATAAATTGATCTGATTGTATCTGATGATGTTGACCTTATAGTAGTGGCTGGTGTCGCTCGCAAAGCAGATCATGTTTACTCTTTTTGAAACACCTGATGGTACTTCTCTTTAACTCCCAATTTACCATACTTTAGACAAGATTTTGATTAAGAGAATTGTCTTGTTTGTACAGAGTTTTATTTATCTAGTTATATTTCAGCATGTAATTGTAACAACTAAAAGATTAACAATATTACTAGAAGAGAGGTTGATATTAAAGTTATTGTTGTTATTGGGATATGAAACAAACGGATCAGATATGGTCCAACTAGATGATAATAACCATCAGTAAGTTAACTTAATTAGAAGGGATTGTGAAGATGTTTTCTTATTTTGTTTGTGTATCAGGGACACTGATAATATCAGTAGCTAAAAAGTTAAGTGATAGATTTGGGTTTTATTCGTTCTGAATTTTAAAGTTTTGATCATTGCTGTATATCTGTTTAAGATTTTATGACCCCAATGAAGATGGGACTCACATTCAAAAATTCAAGTCGCTTTAATAAAGGGGAAGACAAATCCATCTAGTGAAGGTGTCAATGGTTTTAACTATGGAAAACTATTTTCCAACTTTGGCTCAACTAGATGAAGGGGGCCCTCACTAGGGAAATTCTTTTCGCTTCCTGCATTTCTTCTGGGACTTGGTTCAATTAGTCTCTTTGGTGTTTGAGCCACTGCTATCTGCTATGAATTTAATTTAGTGGCCCCATTATTATGAATAAAAACCTAAAACACTGAAATTATATTTACCTGCCAAAATCTGGATTTTAGATCAAACAAATTTAAAATGTCATTTATTAGTAATACGAGTAGATATCTATTAAAGAAACTATTTGATATACTGTGTTTCAATAAAAATTAAATATTTCTATTAAAGTCTAGACAAAACCTGAATCTGAACCTGATTTTTCAGTACGAATATTATTACATCTTTCATATAATAGTTTACCATTATATATATAATCCTTTTTATATCCTGGGCCCCTGAACCACATGTATTTCTACTTTACCTATCATTCACATGAGCTGATGTGTTTTTCCCCTTTTTGCCAGTTATTTTTACTTTGATTAATGATTAAAGAAAAGGACTTGTTTAATAGTTTAATTTTATTATTTGTAGAGTGTTACCAACATCCTCTACCATCCAGGCTACAAGATATTATTTTAGTTCATTAAAGATTAAAACTGGTCGAGTAACGTTAAGTATGGCCACGTCTAGCAATCTATCTCCTGATCTTCAGCTAGTTAAACACAGTCTGGCTGTTCCTCTCATAGCCTTCGAAGATGCCAAAGTGGATTTAGGTAAGATATGATGATTCACTGAGGTTTGTCTACTGTAAATGTGATAACTTGTCCTCAATTTGCCCATACTGATATTAAAACAGATTTATGCATGATATGTAAGGCTCACCTGTTCCATAATCATTTTTAAATCATTTGA